CACACACACACACACACACACACACACACACACACGCAGACCTGTGGCATTCCCTCCAAGGCCCTGGCCCTTCTCAGGGGCTGCTAAGCAGTGCCGTTACAGCAAGCTCCAAGTCCTAGGCGTGTCCCTTTAAGTGCCTGTGCAGTCAAATGCCACAGGATTTCAAATGGAAATGACATGAATTAATTTCCTGAGAAGAACAAAAAGAAAAGGGAAGTAGAGAAGAAAGGCAGCTTCTTGTGACACAATATGCAGACTCATGGCACCCACTGATTGATTGAAGTGTCAAAAAGGCACCTTTCAGGTATAAATGAAGCTGCTGAGAGAGTGTGGAGGCTCTCGCACGCTCTCTTATTCATATGAAATATTAATGGATAAAGTCAAGGGAAAATCAGTTTTCCTTGGTATCTTTGGAATCTTCTCTACCCCAGAAGCTAACCTCTGGACAGCCGTCCTAGTGAGAGATGAAAGCACACAAACGCGTCTCCTCCTCTCAGGTGGGACATGAAAAGTCTTTGGGTCGCTTTAAGAAAAGCTCCCTGTACCTGGCTCCAGCCTCCTCCCGGCCTCTCTGCATGTCACCTGTTCCCGCTCTTTGGACGCTCCAGACAGACGGCTCCCCTGTGCTTAAAGGGAGAGCTGGTATTACGTGTCCCCCACTCAACACGTGCCGAACGGCTGCACTCCACGGCAGAAATGGACAGACTGGAGGGGTGAAGGCCTGGAGAGCAACCGTGGGTACCAGAGACCCTGTGCGCAGAGGGCGGGAGACCGGGGGAACCAATGGGGAAAAGGAAGACGCATGTTGAACAGACACAAACGTGGACAATTATCTGCTGTGAGAATATGTACGATACTATCGATACTATCTTTAACTGAATCATCATACAGTGTATTCAGAATGGAAAAATTCATTTGCTTTATTGTAATGATCTACAGTGACTGAATGTAAAAAAAAAAATAATTAAAACAAAAATAATTGGTGTGAGGGGGTGGCAGGCAGGTGGTTAAAGCACTGGACTCCCACATGACAGAGTAAGGTTCAAGTCGCAAACCTGGCAGCTTGCTTCTCACTTCCCTTCTCTCTCTCTCTGGTCAAATGAATAATAATATCAATTAATTAATTAAATAAACTAAAAGTTTAGAAGCTGGCACTGGCTCTTTCCTCTGCCTAAAGCATTTCCCCTCTGCTCTGTGCAGGGACTAGCCTGTAAGTCTCCTGAGAATCCTTTTCTCCTAAACACCTGCAGAAGCCTCCCAATGCCTATCCCAGCACCCTGCTTTCATCTCCTACGGTCTTCTCTGATTGCCTTGTTTGTAGAGTTCTTCACGGAGAGTTCTTCATGGAGCTCGACTGGGATGCGCTGTCCAGGAGGGCATGTCTTTGACTTTCTTCTTGGTGGCTATATCTTCCCCTCGCGGTGGAGGTGCCTGGTGTAGCGCAGGTGCTGAACTGAAACTTTGGAAAGAATAGCTGAACAGTTGGGACCAGCCGATGGCATAATGGTTACGTTGCTGGACTCCCATGTCATCAACCATGGTTCTAGTCCTGGACTTGGTGACTTAACACTCATGCCAGGCTCATATGCATGTGTGCCCAAGATCCAGAGAGGAGAATGGAAGAGAAGGAACTGTGGTCTGGGGGAGGTGATTTCTCACTTTCCCTCTCACTGCCTCTCTCTCTCTGGTGAGTGTATGTGCCCTATGACAAAACTAAAAAACAAAAACTTATTGAGAAATCACATTATACTCCATAAGTGTGTATAATTAGCATTTGTCAATAAATAAGTTAATCCTGTAGAATACATGATCCATGGGAACAAAGAAATGAGATAAGCAGAGATGGCACTGTGAAAGCCTAAAGGGGATTAGATCCATACGAAAATATAGACAATAACGTTGTGACGAAAAAATACTATGGCATTTGACCTATGTGAGTAATACCGGTTTGTGGGAAATTAGCTGTCTTATTTTCCTCTTTTCAGGGAATCACCATGGAAATAGGAAACAATACACAAATTTCAGAATTTCATCTTCTGGGACTTTCAGAGAAACCAGAATTGCAGCCCATCCTATTTGGGCTCTTCCTCTCCATGTATCTGATCACTGTGTGTGGAAACCTGCTCATCATCCTGGCCACCATCTCAGACTCCCACCTGCACACCCCCATGTACTTCTTCCTCTCCAACCTGTCCTTTTCTGACATCTGTTTCACCTCCACCACCGTCCCAAAGATGCTGGTGAACATCCAGACACAGAGCAAGGTCATCACCTATGCAGGCTGCATCACTCAGATATTCTTTTTCCTAGTCTTTGCAGTGTTGGATGACTTCCTCTTGACTGTGTTGGCCTATGACCGGTACGTGGCCATCTGTCACCCCCTGCACTACACGGCCATCATGAACCCCTGGCTCTGTGGAAAGCTGGTTTTGACATCTTGGATCATGAGTGTCGTGTATTCCCTGTTACATAGCTTAATGGCATTGCGGCTGTCCTTCTGTGTGCTAGTGGAAATTCCCCATTTTTTCTGTGAACTTAATCAGGTGGTTCACCTGGCCTGCTCTGACACCTTTCTTAATGACATGGTGATCTATTTTGCAGCTGTGCTGCTGGAGGGTGGTCCCCTCACTGGGATCCTTTACTCTTACTGTAAGATAGTTTTGTCTATTTGTGCAATCTCATCAGTTCAAGGGAAGTACAAAGCATTTTCCACCTGTGTCTCTCACCTCTTGGTTGTCTTCTTATTTTATTGTACAAGCATGGGTGTGTACCTTAGTGCTGGTGCTACCCACAGCTCACACACAAGTGCAAAAGCCTCGGTGATGTACACTGTGGTCACCCCCATGCTGAACCCCTTCATCTACAGTCTGAGGAATAAAGACATAAAGAGGGCTCTGAAAACAGTCTTTGGAAGGGAAACTGTGAAAGGGTCAATGACCTTGAGCTTAAGTAACACATAATTTCAGAGTTTAAAGTCATGGACTTATAATTTTCAAATCAAATTGTGAAAGTACTTGTCTACACAATTGAAGTAACACTGTATTCAGCTTTCTACCTTCTCATATATGAGCAAATTTTTTCTTTGCCATTTTTCTACTTTCCCAAAGTTGTTTCTAGCCTTGTATCAGAAATACTTTAAAATTTTCATTATCTTATAGGACAATATGCAACTCCTAAGAATATCGTATTCTCAAAGGATGTATATCATTCCAAATAATTTTTTTAATTTTGTTACTAAAATAACTTTTTTGGGTTGGGTTGCGCCTATAAAAAAGAAAACAAGAAAAAAAAACAACTAGAAAACAAAACAAAGCAAAACAAAAAGCACATTTACATTTGGTAACTAATACTATTAAGGTAATTTAATTAAAGGATTTATTGATGTGCTTTATGTTGTTTCTTTAAATATTTGCTTGTTTCTTCTTGAATACTTTAGTGTGGCTGTAATTATAACTCCTTGAAGTGCTTAAGATTAATTACCTCCCCTTAATCTCACCCTCTTTCCATATAGTCTTCAGAGTCTATAACCATTTTCAGAGCTTCTTTGTCCTCCAGTCTCTCAGTTTCCACCATAGAGTGCACACAGTTGGTATATGTGAAGTGAAGACATACAATGTCTCTCTTTCATACCCTGACTTGCTTCACTCAGCAGTTTATCCACTTTCTATCAGATGCCAAGGTCTTCTTGTTTTTCTTATTTTTATTTTTTATGACTGAGTAGTATTCCATAGTATAGGTGCTGCACTTTTCCAATTCAGAGGAGAAGAGCTGATGTTAACAACCCACTATGAGACTGCTTGGACAGGAGGTCCGCAAGTTAAATAATATGGTGTGTGTGTAACTCACCTGCAGAAATTCCTATGATAAGTCAAATAGTCACCTTGAAACACCAAGGTCAGAAAATGACTTGGTAAAAATTCAGAACAAAGAAGACATGTTGCTTGTATGGATTCCTGGAGTGAAGGCCCAGTCATGTTGGTACAGCAGAACCATAATGAAAGATGAGGTCTGGTATCCAGGAGGCCTGGATATACTGGGTGTGCTGTGTGCCAATGGACATGGCTGGTTGGAAGGCATGGGGGAGGATCATGGGTGAGACCCTGATGAGGGTACTTCTCTCTCTCTGTTCCTTATGCTCTCTCAAAAAATACCTTTTCAGAAATTAATGAGAAAATTCATTTTACAAGCTGTGTGGATGCACATGGATTAAATGTGTAAAATAAATTTTAAAAAATGAATGAAAGTCACCTTTGGAAATCCTGGGTGACCTTCACATTGAAAAGAGTAGATCTAAACTGGATGACACTGATATTCATTCACTGTCCCTTCAGTGTCATGACAACATTTAAAAATGTAGAGATTATTTAATGTATAGCAATGGAGGGGGTCATACTGGTAGGCAGTGTTGAAGTTTTCAAGATGAAATAGGTAGATAATTTGATTTAAAAAAAAGATAAAAGACACCAACCAGCACTGTATGGGACCTTATAGTGCCTAACACATTAAGCCAAGTAAGGAAAGGTACCTAGATGGTAATTTTCTTAGTATGTTTCCAGGGTTCAAGTTCTGAACCAGCAGTTTTCAATCAGAAACAATTGCCCTGGGGGATATTTGATGAGTTATTCTTTGTTGTACTCGTTATTGTTACCCTCATGCTGACTTTGAATGGTCACATTAAAATCCATAGACTCTGGATATCCCTATAGACCAGTGGTTAAGGAAACCGGATCCCACATGGCTGTCTGTGGTTTGAATTCCAAATCCAGAAGTATGGAAAACATGCTGGATGTGTGTGAGTGTATGCCTCAAATTTATATATGTGAGTGTGTACCTCAAGTCAAGGTAAGATGAAGAAATGGAGGAGAAGGAATTGTGGCATGAGCATGTCCCATTGAAGGGTACTTTCTCCTTCTCCCCTGTTTAAACTCACACACTTTCTGGCAACATAAAAAATAAGAACTAATTTTTATACTCTTTTAAACTGTCCTATGTTTCTTGGAAATATCTCAAAGGCTGATACCCCTTGATGTATCAAATTAATCCTTCAAGTATTCTAGGAACTACTTCTACTCTTCAAGGAAATCTTGTCTTGTTGGTGCAAGCCTATAGCATATCATTCATAAACATACAACATCAACAGATATGTGGAATGTTCATGTGTCTGTTTATCCCCTGAGGGATAAACATTTTATTTTTCACTTATTTATTCACTCCCTTTGTCCCTTTAGTAAGATAAAGTTTTTCTGCCATTAGCTCTGCATTTTGTTGTCACCTCAAAAAGGAAAAGTGTGTATCTCTACATTGGTTGATTTTGAGCTTGGACATATGACATGTTTTGGTTGAAATAAAGTGAGCAGCCAGACACATTCAGTGTTTAAAAAGAAATTGTAAATGCTGTTGCAAGATGCCACCACTTTTCTTGATCTTCCTCTCTTAAATTGGTCTTTCTATTCAGAATTGGAGAACAAATTAAGATATGGAAAGTCCTTTGAATGGAATATTTCTGTCCCCTCCACAATTCATGTCCTAATCCACAATGAGAAGACTTCACCCGTATAGACTCTAGTGTAATATAAAGGCAGATATTAAGTCATTAATTTCTGGGTTGGCTTGTTATGCAGTGATAGCTCACCATTGCAATAATTAATGCAAACCCAACTAAAGGCATTCAGAGAAGTCTGGTCCCTCTTACTTATAGGCATTTGTTCTAATATTTGAAGACAACAATCTTGATTACATGGATGTTCAAGTTTATTTCACATAATTGTATTTAAAAGCAACTACCTTTGAGGTTCCCTTCTAGGTAACTAGGAAAGGTTGGCAGGACATATATATTTTTGCAGTAGTAAGTTGTGACCCTAAATCAAAGTCTGTATTCCTATAGGCAATACGGGAAGACCCTGAAACTTTTCACACGAGTCATCCTTTGATCATGAAGATGGAAGAAAGTTTAGAGTATAAAAGGGACATAGAAACTGACTCTGCTATACATACACAGATTGTTTATTTACCTCCACTTTAATGTTTATCACAATTTCTTTTCTTTTCTTTTTTTTATTATGGAGTACATGCACTCCCTGTAAATGAAAGAGAGAGACAGAGCGAAATACCTGACCCCCTCCCCAAGAAGTATGGCCATGACACAATCCCCTCTCCTCCATTCTCAACTGGGATTTGGGGTACACATGGACACACAGCAGTACTGATTTTCAAGCTGCCGAGGGTGGGACTTGAACCATGAAGTCAGCCATATGGTATCTAGTCGCCTTAACCCTCATGCTACCTGATGACCCTCTCATAAAATTTTAAAGGGAGAATATTTATTAGAACAATTTAAGGAGTTATGTGCAGATAACTATGGAAATTAAAAACAGAAACAGAAAGATAATACAACGAAATAATGCAGAACATGAAATCAAATCCATGCTTCCTTGAGTGAATATGACTTACCCAAACAAAGCTATGATAGTAAATACATAAATGGCTGAAAATGTTACTCCATCATATTAAAAATCATCTCTGACATAATTGACATTAAGTCAATTGATTTATGCAGAGTAGCCTTGCTGTGCAGACTACACATGGAACATGTATTGTTCAGCAACTTTAAATAATCATTTAATTTAATTTATTATTATTTTTAATTAAACCAGAGAGAGACAAAGAAAGACAGAGAGGGAAAGTGAAAAAGCATGCCAACTGGTCTGGGACTTGAACTGCAGTCGGCCATGTGGGAGTCTAGTACCTTAGCCCCCATTCCACCTGCTGGTCCCTGTTAGGCAACTTTTGCTCTTCTACTCATTGCCAGGGAATGTAGTAAGCACTATGGACACTGTGCTGAATAAAAGGATAGGATTTTAATTAGGAAAATAAGATGCCATGACCAGCTAAACAACACGTGAGTATGTGAAAGTCTACATTATCAGGGGGACCAACTTAGTGATGGAGAAAGGAATGATAGACACAGAAACTAAAACCTGTGGTCTCGGTTATTTATGTATGATGAAATTATATTCATGACCTTATCATTGCCAAGTATAATTTATTCTTGGAGAAATTTCTTTTTTTTTTCTTTTTGCTCTAGTGTGTGAGTGCATGTTGGAGAGACAGAGACAGAAAGTAAGACGTCACCCCTCAGGAGGGATGGCCACACCACAGTCCTTCTCCATTCTCCCCTCATGATCTTGGGTATGTATGTACATGTGCCTGACATGAGTTTTAAGTTGTCAGGTCCAGGACTCAAATCGCTGTTGACTATGTGGGAGTCCAGTGATGTAACCCTTACACCATCTGCTGGTCCCACCAAGTATAATTTAATAACTAATAAATATACAATAATACACATTGAATTCCTCTTCTCCAAAGTTCTTCAGAACAGAAGTGTTTCAGATTTCAGATTTTTTTCAATTTTTGAATATTAGCATTACATAATGATAGGTCTTTGGAATGAGAATCAAATCTAAATAAAACATTCATGGATGGGGGACCAGCAGGTGACATGGTGGTTAAGGCACTGGATACTCCCATATGGTGGATCATAGTTTGAGTCCCAGACCTGATGGTTTTCTTTCTCACTTTCTCTCTCTCTTTGTCTCTCTCTGGTCAAATTAAAATAAGTGAATGACTAAATAAAATTAAATAACTGATTCTTTAAAAATAGACTTTTATTATTAAAAAAATCAGTGATGTTTCATATACATCTCATACACATAGCCTGAAGATAATTTTATTCAAACTTTTTGCATTGCAGCATTTTGATTGTGACCTATCACTTGAGGTCAACTATGAAACTTTCTTCCTTTGCTCAGAAAGTTTTAGCATTTGGAATATTTTTTTAGATTTTGGAGTTTTGGATCAACCTGCTCAACCTGTATGAAAAAGATGTGAATCTTCAAATTGTCCCTGATCTTCGTTTGGGAATAAATATGTGGAAGTAGGTAAATGACAAAAGGAAATACTGTTGGTTTCAGGGAGAGCAGAAAGCTTTAAAAAAGAACAGCTGAAATTGTATAAGAACCAGAGATCAAAAAAATTGAAACTAAAGAGACAGATAAAATTCTACTTCTACAATCTGATTAAAGAACCACAATTTATGAGTTTGAGGATATTATCCCCGCAATCCCATGTGCCCTTGAAAAATGGCCTGCTTATAGCTTTCCTATGAATAATGGTTTCAGGGCCCTTTTTATGTCGTTGTTCCTCAGACTGTAGATAAAAGGATTCAACATGGGGGTGACCACAGTGTACATCACTGAGGCTGCTGGACTTGAGTGTGAGCTGTGGGTAGCACCAGCACTAAAGTACACACCCATGCTAGTGCAATAAAATAAGGAGACAACTGAGAGGTGAGAGGCACAGGTGGAAAAGGCTTTGTACTTCCCCTGAGCTGATGAGATTCTACGTATGGAGGAAACTATCTTACAGTAAGAGTAAACGATCCCAGAAAGGGTTCCGCCACCCAGCAGCACAGACACAAAATACATTACCACATCATTAACAAAGGTGTCAGAACAGGCAAGATGGATCACCTGTATAAATTCGCAGAAAAAGTGGGGGATTTTGAAATGTGTACAGAAGGACAGCTTTGAAGCCATTAAGCTATGTAACAAAGAATGCAGGACACTCATGATCCAGGACACCAGAATCATCAACACACACATATGAGGTTTCATGATGACCATGTAGTGCAGGGGGTGACAGATGGCCACGTACCGATCATAGGCCATCACAGTCAGCAGACAGACATCCTGCCCTGCAAAGCACATACCGGTCATAGGCCATCACAGTCAGCAAACAGACCTCTTGCCCTGCAAAGAGTGTGAAAAAGAACATCTGGGTGATGCAGCCTGCATAGGTGATGACCTTGCTCTGTGTCTGGATGTTCACCAGCATCTTTGGGACGGTGGTGGAAGTGAAACAGATGTCAGCGAAGGACAGGTTGGAGAGGAAGAAGTACATGGGGGTGTGCAGGCGGGAGTCTGAGATGGTGGCCAGGATGATGAGCAGGTTTCCACACACAGTGATCAGGTACATGGAGAAGAAAATTCCAAATAGGAGGGGCTGCAATTCTGGTTCCTCTGAGAATCCCAGAAGATGAAATTCTGAAATTTGTGTGTCATTTCCTAGTTCCATGTGGTAAATAGAACTACTAAGAAAGAGAAAATTAACATGAGTACTTTTCATACAAATGGATATTACCAACATTGTTGAAGTGTTTCAATCATTATTTTGCAGTCAAGAAAATAATTGGTATTATTCCATTTCCAGAGTAGTTATGCCTTATACAAGGGGTGGAGGTCTTCAAAAATTAATGTAAAAATATGTGTTAAGAAAAATCTATGCGTAGATTTCAAAATATTTTGCGCCAAAATAAACTCCTTATATTAATTCCATTTTCCACAAATATTTTGAAGTTCTTTAAAATTTTTCCTAGGATATATACATGTATATGGGAGGTGATCTATGTTCTCACAGGTAATAAAATTGTTTACAAAATCAATTTAAAGAAAAAGTTAGTTGAAAGCTGGAAGAGAGAAGCAAGGAAGCTATTAATTGGAAGCAAATCAGAAAATCCCCAAATATAAAACCACTATACACCAACTTAAAATGTTAAGATAAAAAGTAAAAATATAAAGAGCATTTACAATATATATACGATTGTATTCATGCCATTGCATGTGAAGTGTAGTAATATGAATGTTTGCATAATATAGACAAAAAATTTTAAGAGAAACTACATTTTTATAGAAAAAGAATGACAATGAGAAAGTAATTAGGCTAATATAGTGGTTTCAATACAACTATACCAAATTGAAAAAAATTGAGAGTTTAAATCTAACTCTTAGGAAAAAAGACGTCAAATAGTATTAATTTAATGACATCAACATGGATCATTAATTCAACATGAAATTGCCCAAGACTTGGACATACAAGAATGTAACAAGAAGTCTTGAAATTCAGGAAGTAATGTAATACAGAGAGAATTTCATCTTACATAAAGATAGACAGATATATTTAAATATACCTATGGAAGATACAGGTAATATCTAGTGAACTGGTAAAGCATAATGTATTTCACACATGAGAACAAAGGATGCAAAAAAACCTTTCTACATTTTAAAAAAGAATGGGGGAGGGTGGCAGGTGGAATAGTAGTTTATATGCTGGACTCCCATGGGGCCAACTGCTGTTTGAGTCCCAGACTTGGCAGTTTGAAACTCATACCAGGTGTGTGTGCGTGCATGCCCAAATCCTGGGAGGAGAATGGAGGAGAAGGGATTGTGACATTGCCATTCCCCCTGGGGGATGATTTCTTGCTTTCTGTCTCTATGTCTCTTTGGCAAGTGCACATGCCCTATAACAATAATCTCTCCAACACAAACAAAACAACAACAACAACAACAACACACACACACACCACAAAACAATGGGAGGCAGGAAGTGGAACAAAATACAATCAACTAATAGACTTGGCCCTGCAAAACATACAAACTTCCACACAGTCTCATTCAAGTTCTTCTATATATACATACACAAAAGAACTATATTACAGCAGCTGAGTTGATGGGGGAAAAAATGCCAATATCTTGTACCAATGAATGCAATCAAAAATAGAAATAAAAGCATGTTGAAATCACTGTCAAAAGCAAAGATTACACAGGGAACTTGCTAAAAGGAAAATAAATAGCTAACAAACCTACAAGTATATTCAGCCTCACAGATAATAAAATAATTATAAATTAAAACTCTTTTATATGTCTCTTTTCACTCAATAATTAATTAAATACCTTTTATATGAATATCCAATGTGAGAAGGTGCTATGGAATGGGTGTTTCATGAACTTGTGTTACAAGGTAAAATCTGCAAACCCCCCCGAACTGGATATTTCTTATCAACATTGAAATGTAGGAGAATGGACTCTATCTTACAAATAAAAATAATATAGCTCCAGTCAGTAGGTGGTGGTGGTTAGGGTGTTGAACTCCCACATGACTGTCTGTGGTTTGAGTCCCAGACCTGGTGGCTTAAAACTCACGCTGGGTGCATGTATATGCATGCTCAAAATTACAAGAGTAGAATGGAGGAGAAGAGATGGCAGTGTGGCCATCTCCTTTGGGGAGTGATAACTCATTTTCTCTCTATCTGTCTCTCTCATGAGAGCAAAGACCCTATTGAAAAAAATCTGTCTAAAACAAACAAAAAATGATATGGCTTCACTTCACTGCATACCTAATCCTCCATTTCTTTACCCCTCTTAATTTCAAAATATCTTGAAGTTGGTTTTACTGGAAGTACTTGACACTCCCCATCTCCCTTTTATTTTAAAAGGATATTAACATTATTTTTAATTATTTTTAATTTTTCAATTTAATTTTCTTTTATACTTTCAATCACATTGTTTAGCTTTAAATTTTTATTTATTTTTCTCTTTGTTTTACATTTAATCCCTGTACATCTTCACAGCATACAAAATAAATTTTCCCAGCATGAATCCACTGCATATCAATCTAGTCAAAGATATTACCAAACACATCACCATCCATTGGACTTCCATTAACATCATTTCATTGTCAACAATGACCCCTGCCATACTCAGTTCAATGTCCCTTCTTTATTTAATATCACAAATAAGTGCAATGACTAAGCAAGCAACTACAGACAGTTCTCTGATGTGTACTAGGCTGGTCTAGCTCTCAGTTTATGTTGGGTAAATATTCTCAGCTTCCATTGTCTCTGACCTGCTGCTGCAGTGTCTGCTGTGCTCTCTGACTCACCTGTGGGGTCTCTGAGAAGAGGGCCTCTGTGTAGAAGCCTGAGTTCCTCTGTAGGTGGTCTATAATGGAGACTGAAACTGTGTCCCAGACAAGGCAGTGAGGAAGAGTCAAGCATCAGTCCCTGAGCCAGACTGGAGAATCCAAAAGAAATAACCATGTTCCTTCTGGACCAGGTTGTGCTCTCTGAAGGACAGGAGCAGAGGAGATATTTACAGCTCCCGCTACTTCTCATTAGGCTCATTTCCCAGATTGTTATCTTGTCCTCTAAGCACATGATTTCCCTACGGACACTGGTCTGGCTGGAAAGGAAACTTTTCTTGCAGATGGTCTGTTCCCAAGAGACAAGCTTAGTCAGGTGAATCCCATTTTCATTACTTCTTCCCCATTGGTTGATCCTGTGTTGCACAGGCCTAGCCTTCTACTGTTCCCAACTAAGTCCAGCCGCTTCTTCTCACAGTCAATGAAATGAGAAGCAGAGGCTAAAGAAGAAGGGAATTTATTTCTGTAAATAGTTATGGGGAGAAAGCAAGCAAGAACCACCAAATTGTCTTGAAAGGCTTAACATGTTCTCAGTATTTATAGGCACAAGACACAAGCAGGTACAAATCACTCCTCACTATGGTCAGTCAGAGTCAATTGCTTTATCCTGAGTAATTATAGTGATTTTTTTTCAAGTACCCATTCCTGATCTCTATCTCTCTCTGTGTGTGTATGTGTGTGTGTGTGTGTGTACGTACAAAGGAAAGTAAATTGCTAACAAACCCACAAATGTATTGAGCCTAACAGATAATGAAATAATTCTAAAGTAGAGCTCTATAATATGTACCCTTAGCTTAATATATTTTTTTATGTGAATAAATGAGGATGTGAAAGAAAGTACTATGGAATGCATGTTGCATGAACTGTGTTTACCAGGTAAAAGCAGCAAACATCCCCTTGGTCTGGATCTTTCTTATCGATAAGAAGTATAGGTCAATACTCCCCATCTTAAATAAAAGCATTCAAAAGTGTCAACAGAAACAACCAACTCTGCAGAAATAGTAATTTGTGTGGTTTATTACTAAGCATGAATATGTGTGACCTAGGCCTGGAGAAGGGGAACACAAGCCTTTCTTGGGATGATCAGGTACAGGGGTTCCTTTTATTTGATTTTGAGTGAGAGACACCATTTGGAATTTAGTGAAAAGAGTTCTTTAATTGGTCTGGTCCAAAAGGGTGCGACATCTGGACATGAGGGTTTGTAGCTCAGGTGGGTTTTACAGTTCTTAGGCTGGTGATTGAAAAGAAAGTTTTGTGTTTCAGAAAGGGTTCAGCAAAGAGTGCACTGTCACAGAGATAAGGGGAATTGCATATGTCCCAAGGACAGGATGTTGGAAGAGTCCTTAATCAATGAGTCAAATGGTTGGTTAATGCTTGTGGACATGATTCATTCATCACAAGAATACTATGCCAGGGACAGGATATAGGAAGAGTCCTGGTATTAAATGGGCCAAAATGGTCTGTTAATGTTTGTGGGCATGACTTATCCCAGGCCCTATGGAAGGAATTTTGGAAAATAGGAATAAGCAGTCAGACTTCTGTTCTCAAAATATATAAAAATGAAAAGTTATCCACATGGTAATATCCTTGACTGGACTAATATACACTTTATTTATACTCAGAAAAATAATTTTGTATGCTGTACAGATGTCCACTGATTAAATGTAAAATTTAAAATATATAAAAATAAAATAAAGGGCCAGCATGTGGCATGCTGGTTAAGGCACTGGACTCCCACATTGTCAATTGTGGTTCAAGTCCCAGACCTTGTGGTGGTTTTCATGTTCCCTCCTAGCATCTCTCTCTCTGTCTCTCTCCAGTGAGAGCACATGATCTCTGGCAAAAACCTAAAAATAAAAAAATAAAATAAAATAAATCTGACCATTCCTCAAAAAGATCTCTCCATGACTCAGCACTTGGTCAGGTTGCTCTTGTTAGAAGCCTCTCTTAATTTAAAAATGGCTGCAGTCCTGCTGACCTGCTTCACTAACACCTTAGCCCACCTTTGAATTCCATTACTCCAAGTCTAGTGAGGACCCAGGGGTGTTCAAAGCATTACTTTGTAGTAGACTCTGATACACATCAGAAAATTGTTATTCCCTTCTTAAAACATAGGGAGAAGTATGTTTCTTAAAACTACAAATATTCCACTTCTTGGCATCATGAAACCTTTGTCAAAGCAATTAGGAATTTCATACCTATATCCCAAGTTGAGAGCTATCATTTATTCCCTTATCATAAATTTAAAAAAATTGTTTTTAATTTTAAAATTTTCTACAGGAAACATGTGCTCCCTAGAGAGAGAAATAGGGAAAGTGAGAAAGCAAGCCACCACGTTCAGAACTCGAACTGCAGTCAGCCATGTAGGAGTGCAGCTCCTTAACCACCACACCACCTGCTTGTTGCCCCTCATCATATTTTTTTTCATTATTACAGATATTTTGAAATCTTACTCACCATAACATGAACTTAGTATCATATAGAAATTGCCTGATTTGGGTCAGCCAGGTGGCATGATGGTTAAGGAGACTAGATCCTACATGGCCAACTGCACATTCAGCTCAAGACCTGGTCCCCATGGTTTGAAAAATTCACTGGGCACATGTGCAAGCAGAGAATGGAGGAGAGTGATTGCGTGGTCATCCCCCTGGGAGGGTACTTTCTCACATTCTCTCTCTCTCTCTCTCTCTCTCTCTCTCTCTCTCTCTCTCGTATACACACATCCTTCTCCACAATTATCTGTGTGTTTTGTTGCTACCTCAGTTGGGAAGAGTGTATATCCCTACAACGGTTGACTTTGAGCTCGGATGTGTGACATGTTTTGGTTGAAAGGAAGTGAGTGTCCAGACACATTCAATGCTGAAAAAGAAGCTGTAAAAGGCATTGTAAGATACCACCACTTTTCTTGATCTTCCCCCCTCAAATTGTCCTTTCTACTCAGAATTCAAGAACTAATTAAGATATGGAAAGTTCTTTGAACTGAATATATTTGTCTGCTCCACAATTCATATGTCCTAATTCCCAGTGAGAAAGCTTCACCAATATAGACTCTAGTGTAATACAAAAGCATGGTATTAAACCATTAATTACTGGGTTGGCTTGTTATGCAGCAATAACTCACCATTACAATAATCAATGCAAACAAAGCAAAATGTAGACATTCAGAGAAGTGTGCTGCCTCTTATTTATCACCATTTGTCCTGATATTTGAAGACAACATTCCTGATTACATGGATATCCATGTTTATTTCAGATAACTGTATTTAGAAGAGAATACCTGCTAGGTAACTAGGACAGGTTGGCAGGAAATAATGTGTTTTTTTTTTTTTTTTGAGAGGTTTTCACTACAGGGCACGTGCGCTCGCCAGACAGACAGACACAGAGACAGAAAGCGAGAAATCACCCCCCAGGGGGGATGGTCATGCCACAATCCCTTCTCCTTCATTCTCCTCTCGGGATCTTGGGCACGCATGCACATGCGCCTGGCGTGAGTTTTAAGCCACCGGGTCCGGGACACGAACCACAGTCGAGTACGTGGGAGTCCAGTGACATAGCCATTACGCTAACTGCTGGTTCCCAGGAAATAATGTTTTTCAGCAATAAATTGTGACCCTGAATCACAAATCTCTATTGAGGATACGCTGGGAAGAGCCTTTGATCATGAAGATGGAAGAAAGCTTAGAGTATAAAAGCGGTGTAGAAACTGACTTTAGTATAAACACACAGATTATTTATTTAATATCCACTTTAATATTTATCACACTTTTTTTCTGTAGGGCACATGCACTCACTGGAGACAAGAGAGAAAAAGAGAGAGAGAGAGAGAGAGAGATCACTCCCCCCATACTCGGGGGATGATCAAGCTGCAATCTTCTCTATTCTCATCTTGGGATTTGGGGCATGCATGTACACACACCCAGAGCTATTTTTAAGCTGCTATGTCTGGGACTCAAACCATAAAGTCAGCTGTCTGGGATCCAGCCACGTTAACTTCCATGCCACCTGCTGGCCCGATCACAAATATGTTTAAAAGATGAGATATTTATTAGAACAACAGAAGGTGTCATATGTAGCCAACCACGGAAAAAGAAAGCAGAAATAGCAAGACAATATCATGAAATAATGTAGAACATGATACTAAATCCTTCACTCCAGTAAACAAACTTACACATGGACACCAAACTTCCATGTTGTGTGGAGTAGCTATGCCTCATCAAAGCAAATCTTCCATAGTAATTCCTCGTATGACTGAAAATGCTACTCCATCATACTTAAGATCATCTCTGACATGAGACATATATTGAGTGAATTGAATTATGCATATTTTCTGTTCCATGTAGACTACACAGGGAACATGTATTTGTTAAGCAGCTTTAAAAAATGATTAATTTAATTTGATTATTATTTTTAATTAAACCAGAGAGAGATAAAAAGAGGGAGAGGAAAATTGAGAAAGGAAGCCACCAGGTCTGGGACTAGAACCACAGTTGGCTATGTGGGAGTCAGTGCCTTAACCACTATGCCACATGCTGGCCCCACATTGGAGCATTCTGATTGTGACCTATCATATGGAGTCAAGTATAACATTTTCTGCCTTTGCCCAGAACGTTTTACATTTAGAACATTTTGGATTTTTGGATAAAGGATGCTCAACCTGTATGAGAAACATGAGAATGTCCAAATTGTTCCTGATCTTATTTTGACCATTAATGTGAGACATTAGGGAAATAAAAAAGATTCAGAGAGAGCAGAACAATTTATAAAAAGAACAACTTAAATTGTATAACAACCTGAGATCAAATGGAGTGAAACTAAAGTAAATACATGGATAAAATTCTACTTCTCTAGTCTGATTAAAGAACTGCAATTTTTGAATCTGAGAGTTCTATCCTCTTAATACTGTGTACCCTTGAAAAATAGCCCAATCATTGCTTTCTGGTGATTAATTGTTTCAGGGCCCTCTTTATGTCTTTATTCCTCAGACTGTAGATGAAGGGGTTCAGCATGGGGGTGACCACAGTGTACATCACCGAGGCTGCTGCACTTGAGTGTGAGCTGTGGGTAGCACCAGCACCAAGGTACACACCCAGGCCTGTGCAATAAAATAAGGAGACAACTGAGAGGTGAGAGGCACAGGTGGAAAAGGCTTTGTGCTTCCCCTGAGTGGATGAGATTCTACGTATAGAGGAAACTATCTTAGAATAAGAGTAAAGGATACCAGAAAAGGTTCCACTACCCACCAGCCCTGTTGTAAAATACATCACCATGTCATTAAAAAAGAAATCAGAACAGGCACGGTGGATCATCTGATTGAGTTCACAGAGAAAGTGGGGGATTTCCAAATCTGTGCAGAAGGACAGCTGTGATGCCATTAAGCTATGTAACAAAGAATGCAGGACACTTGTAATCCAGGTGGTAAGGACCAGCAACACACAGAGCCAGGGGTTCATGATGACTGTGTAGTGCAGGGGGTGACAGATGGCCACAAACCGGTCATAGGCCATCACAGTCAAGAGAATGATGTCATTCCCTGCAAAGAGCATGAAAAAGAAAATCTGGGTGATGCAGCCTGCATAGGTGATGACCTGGTTCTGTGTCTGGATGTTCATCAGCATCTTTGGGACAGTGTTGGAGGTGAGACCAATGTCAGTAAAGGACAGGTTGGAGAGGAAGAAGTACATGGGGGTGTGCAGGTAGGAGTCTGAGATGGTGGCCAGGATGATGAGCAGGTTTCCAATCACAGTGATCAGGTACATGGAGAAGAAAAAGCCAAACATGAAGGGCTGCCATTCTGGTTCCTCTGAAAGTCCCAGCAGAAGGAATTTTGAAAATTTTGTATTGTTCCTTGGTTCCATGTGGTTGAGGTGACTACAAGGAAAGAGAAAAGTAACATGAGAATTTTTCTCTCAAAAGAGTGTTACTTCTATAGTTAAAATGCTACAATTTATGTTTTGCAGTCATGAAATTAATTTTGTATAAGAATTGGTTCCCCTCCATACACTATTTCTGATTGGGAATTCCTGTCTTACTTTCAACTTTCCCCCAAGAGGTTAGGCATTGTACAATATTTTATTTATTTATTTATTTATAAATTTGCCAGAGGGTGCAGGGGCTTTCTAGAGAAAGATAGAGAGATAAAATGGAAAATTATCTTTTGATGATAATATGTATGGTGATATCTTCCATAGAGCTAATGTACAGTGTATTATGGTTAGGAAAATTCATTTTGTATGCATAATGATATACAATGATTGATTATAAAATATGTATCTATGTATCTATATATAAAATAAAACAAGAAAGATGAAGGGAGACAGTAAGAAAGCACCCTCCATGAGAGATGGCCATTACATAATCTCTTCTCCTCCATTTCTCCCTTTGGGATTTGGGCACACACACACACACACACACATAGTGTGGAAAATACCAAGCCAACAGGTCCAGGGCTCAAACTGCACAGCTGGCCATGTGGGATGCAGCCACCTTAACCACCGTGCCACCAACTGACAATTCTACAATTTTAATAAGAAATTTCTTTATGCACTTGAGTAACACAAATTGAAGGTCTTCCATATTACAGATTCTCCAAGTAATGAGTGTAGGGTGGACCAATAAGTGATATTTAGATGAATGCAAAAGAACATTTTCCACAGCATGGGGAGGCCACTGTTTTTATTTTAAAAATTCAATTCAATTACAAAAGGTAAAAAGAGGAATAAAAGTAACATGAAATGTCAGACTGTTGGAAAAGTCATGACATACATTTTCTATGGAAAAATGCATCACGACTTTTCTGACAACCCAATAAGATAGCAAAATGTATAAAAGACAATTACTACGAATGATGCAGAACTTGTTATGTTTAAAAGACAATGGAGAGGAGCAGCAGGTGACCAAGAGGTTAAGACACTGGATTCTACATGGGAACTGTGTGGTTTGAGTCTTATATTTGGTGACTTGAAAATCACACTGGGCATGTATGGGTACATACCCAAAGTTCCCCAAGAGGAGAATGGAGGCGAAGAGATTGTGGTGTGACCATCTCCCCTATGGGGTGGCTTTTCTCTCTCTCACTCTCTCTCTGACTAGTGTACATGCCTTATAGCAAAAACTTAAAAAATAAATACCACTAAGGGAGATGACTATGCAAGTTGAACAACTGATAAACTTGGACATACTGACTTAATAGCTTCATATATTATCCCACAAAATATTTATCTACCCATCATCCATCTATCATCTATCTATCTATCTATCTATCTATCTATCTATCTATCTATCATCTATCTATATCATCTATATTTATCTTCTATCTATCATCTATTGGCAGTCTATCTATCTATCATCTACCTATCTATTATCTATCTCTATCATCTATCATCTATCTATATCTATCATCTATCATCTATCTATCTATCTATCTATCTATCTATCTATCATCTATCTATCTATCTATCTATCTATCTATCTATCTATCTATATCTATAACCATCTATCTTTTATCTGTCATCTATTGTCAGTTTATCTATCATCTACCTATCATCTATCTATCTCTATCATCTATCTATCATCTACCTATCATCTATCTACCTATCTTCTATCTATTTCTATCTACCGTCTATCATATATTGTCAATTTATCTATCACCTTTTATGACAAAGCTAATTAACTAGCTATTATAAGTAAATAGTAAACAACAAACTTAGTGCAAAAACTACACTTTTTTCTTTGAAAGAATAAAATAAAAAGAACCCAGTACATAAAAGCAGAGGTTTTTGGGTCAGCAGGTAGTGTAGTGTTTATGATGCTGGACTCCCATCCCACCTGGTTGACAGCAATGTGTATCCAAGACCTGTTGATTTGAGAAATCATGGTAGATTTGTGTGTGTGTGTGTGTGTCCCTCAAATTCCAGGAGGATAATAGAGGAAAAGGGACTGTGGCATGGCCATCATCCTCAGGGGTGATATCTCACTTTCCTTCTCATCATCGCTGTGTCTCTGTCTGGCAAGTACAAGTGCCATAAGGCAAAAAGTGCTAGGAAAAAAAGAAAAAGAATGTCCATAGGGATTTGCAGAAAGGAGAAGAAAAACTGAAAAATTGAGTATCTGATTTTTGAGGGATGCTGGCCCCGACGTACTCTAATGTTACCAAAACCCCTTACTCCTCCTATTCCTCTTTAGTTTCATCCAATACAAATTCTATTCTCATCCATGCGTTGTGTCTAAAAACCCTATTTTTTTTTTAAGGTTTTTACCATAGAGATGTGCGCTTGCCAGAGCAAGTCAGTGAGAAGGAAAGTGAGAAATCATTGCCCAAGAGGGATGGCCACATCGCAATCCCTTCTCAATGCTCACAGGATTTGGGGCATACATGCACTCATGAACACACACCTGGTGTGATTTTTCACCCACTGGGTCTGAGACTTGAACTGCACTTAGTCATTTGAGAGTTTAACTCCTTAAACACCATGCCACCTGGGGGCTCCCAGGAAATGCTTTTTAACCCCCCCCAAGGGGGTGCACCATTCCTGGAGGTACTGCAGTATCAGGTCAATTTATTGAATGGATGGGGCAAGCTCCCCTTCCATCTCCCTGCTCAAAAAATGTATTTAATACATTGTCCTCGATTAGAGGACATTTGAGTTATTAAACTGATTAGAACAGATACCACAATTAATATTAAGCCAAAAGGCCAATAAATAATGCTTTTTTTTCTTTTATGCCATAGGGCTTGTGCACTCACTAGAGAGATATAGATATAGATAGATGGATAGATAGATAGATAGATAGATAGATAGATAGATAGATAGATAGATAGGTGGGGGAGGGAAGAGAGAGAGAGAGAGAAAATTCACCCCACAAAGAGAATGACCACACTGCAATTCCTTCTCTCCTGGGATCTTGGCATACATGCACATGCACCTGGTGTGATTCTGAAACCACCAGGTCTGGGACTCAAATCACAGTCAGTAAGTTCAGTACCTTAACCACCACACCACCTGCTGACTCTTGTATTTTTACCAAACTTAATAAATCCATTACAAATTAGTTCATTAGCCAAGCAAACACAGTAACCTCCTGGCTCAGGGTTAGGTTTATTGGGCTCTCAGGTGACCTCAGGTAAACATTCTGTTTCCATTCTTTCTGACCCTTTTCTGCCGGGCTCTCAGACTCACCTGGACAAACTATGAAAATATGTTTCTTCTGCAGGCATCTACAGTCCTTTCAGATGTCTAAATAATGGAAACTGAAGTTCTGTCCCTGGTAGGACAGAGGACGGAGTGAAGCATTTGTCTCCTAGTCCGATGTAAGACTGCAAAAGCAACAGCCATGTTCTAGCCAGCTCAAGGCTGCAAACTCTGGTAAACATAGGAGAGATGTTTACAGGTCCCTTTATCTGTGCATTTGGCACATTTCCTTCTTGTTACTCTAAACCCTGACTACCCGATTTCCCACGTGGACACTGGTCTCAGAAGAAAGAAACATTTTCCTGCTCTTTGTTCCCATGAGACCAGGTGAATCCAGTCTTTATTCCTCCCCCTTTTTGAACTCCCCTGCCTCTAGAGATCCATGCTGGCATTTTTTTCCAACCTTAGTTTAATTGTACTCCCAAGTATTTGCCTTTGCTAGTTTCCTTGTAACTCCAGAGCACTCAGTTGTTAGGGCCACAGCTCCAGCTAGACACAGCAAATTGCTATTTCCTTTTCATCAAGGGAGAGAACTGTGTTCATCTGCTATAAAACCTTGCATAGAAGACCAGAAAATGTGCCTGGCATTAGTTTCAAGCCACCAGGTCCAGGACTCGAACCATGGTCGGCCATGTGGGAGTAGAGCACCTTAACCACTATGCCATCTGCTAGCCCTTATGTCATTGAATTTTACACATGACTTATATATGAGGCCAATACTATTAGGAACGTGTCCTACATTTGCAGAAGTTATTCAGCTATGCTGTGTAATCTGCCCAAGTGAGGAACTGAGTAAGGGATGAGGTTTGATTGGAATTCTGTAAAGGGGTTTCCAAGTCTTATGACCTAGGTCAGTAGTTCTCAACCAGAATGACTGTGCCTTCAGGAGACACTTGGCAATGTTTGATGAAATGTCTGGTTGTTACCACTGGGGAGGTGCTACTGGTACTTAGTGGGTGGAGACAGGCACACTACCTGCTACAATGAACAGAAAAGCGGGGTCCACAAGGGAGATCAGGTAGTTACCGGGTATGGAGTAACAAGAGGGAAATCAGGGCCAGCAGGTGGTGAGGTAGTTAAGGCACTGGACTCCCACATGGCCGACCATGGCTCGAATCCTGATGAATGGATTGAAAAACTGTGGCACATATACACTATGGAATACTACCAAGCCATTAAAAAAATGACACCCTGGCATTTGATAGAAAGTGAAATGGACCAGACTATGAAAGAGAGGTGTTGTATGTCCCCACTCACTATATACTGAATATGAGCATTTGATGGCAGAAACTGAAAGATTGGAAGGTATAAAATCATAGAGCGCAATGGCGATACTAAAGACAGTGTGGAAGGATGGTGGGAAATGGGAAAGGGTAGGAGGGAGGGAATGAAAGAAAAAAGAAAGAAGCAAACAGTTAAGGGACACAAAAATGGAAAATGGGAAATTTTACTTGGTAAGATGTAATGATGCACAGTGATCAAATGTGAAAAATTGAATAAGTAAATAAATTATAGCACCCACCCAAAAAGAGCTCCTGCTAGATTCTAGATTAAAACCTAAAAAAAAAAAAGAAAAAGAAAAAAGAAAAAAAAAAGGAAAGGGACCAGCAGTTGGCGTAAGGGCTACATCGCTGGACTCCCATATAATCAACCGTGTTTCGAGTCCTAGACCTGGTGGCTTAAACTCACACTGGGCGTGTGTGTGCATGTGTGCCCAAGATCCCGAGAGGAGAATGGAAGAGAAGGGATTGCAGTGTGGCCATCCCCCTGGGGGGTGATTTCTCACTCTCTGTCTCTGTCTTTCTGGTAAGCGCACATGTGACCTTATAGCAAAAACCTCTTTTTTTTTAAAAAAAGGAAAAACAAAGAAGGAATAAAACACACAAAACTGGAAAATTCTAATGTCAGATTTTCTTGTATTATACAATCGCATAACTGACAGAGTTGCCAAGTGTACTTACTTTGTTTCACCAACACATTATTATTTTTAATAGGAAAAAAACATAAAATTACTTGGTATATGTTTTTGAGAAGAAATTATTCATCCAAAAATTTATGCTGCTCTATAAAATTAGTGAGTATTTCCAAATATTTCTGATCTTTGGTTAGGATAAACTTGTAGAAATACAGCAAAAAGACAATGAAAAGACATGCTATCAGACAGAGCACAAGGTTTAATGAGGTGATTGATGTTCTTTCATTGTGTAGAGACGTTGAAATCAAAGTCACAGAAGTTACCGGAGAAGATGAGAAGGAACAAGTTCTATTTCCATAGTATAATTTGATTGTCACCCTTTGTGAGCCTGAAGTTGTGAGCTCTGCTTACAAGGACATTCTTCAGTCCCATGACAATTTAATCTAGGCGAATTTCTTCCCGAATGAGTCTTCTCAGAGCCCTTTTTATGTCTTTGTTCCTCAAACTATAGATGAAAGGGTTCAGCATGGGTGTGACCACTGTGTACATCACGGAGGCTGTTGTACTTGGGTGTGAATTTTGATTATCAGCCCCACTAAGGTATACTCCTAAGACTGTACAATAAAGTAAGAAGACAACTGAGAGGTGAGAAGCACAGGTGGAAAAGGCTTTGTACTTCCCCTGAGCTGTTGAGATTTTACATATGGCGGAAACTATCTTAGAATAAGAGTAAAGGATACCAGAAAAGGTTCCACCACCCAGCATTATGGCTCCGAAATGTATGACAATGTCATTAATAAAGGTGTCAGAACAGGCAAGGAGGACCACCTGATTAATTTCACAAAAGAAGTGGGGGATTTGGTTGTGTGTACAGAAGGACAGCCGCAACACCACTGAGCTTTGGAACAAAGAATGCAGAATATTCATGGTCCAAGACATCAGAACCAGCAACACACACAACTGGGGGTTCATGATGATGGTGTAGTGTAGAGGTTGACAGATGGCCACATATCGGTCATAGGCCATCACAGTCAGGAGGAGGGCATCCAACCCTACAACAAGTAGGAAGAAGAATACCTGGGTGATGCAGCCTGCATAGGTGATGACCTTGCTCTGTGTCTGGATGTTCACCAGCATCTTTGGGACGGTGGTGGAGGTGAGACAGATGTCCACAAAGGACAGGTTGGAGAGGAAGAAGTACATGGGGGTGTGCAGGTGGGAGTCTGAGATGGTGGCCAGGATGATGAGCAGGTTTTCACACACGGTGATCAGGTACATGCAGAGGAAAAGACCAAATAGGAGGGGCTGCAATTCTGGTTCCTCTGATAATCCCAAAAGAACAAATTCCAAAATTCTTGTATTATTCACTGGTTCCATGAGGTAGATGTGACTACTAGGAAAGACAAAGATAAAAGGACTCATTTTCACTCAAGAGGCTATTAATCACAGAGTTATAATAATAAAATACTAAAATTTATGGTTTTCAGTTAATAAATTAATCTACATATAGTGTGTATGATGGTCTCCCCTTCCCCTTAGGAATTTCTGTATCATTTTCAAACTTTCCGCAAGAAGTCATGACTTCTACAATTTTACTTAGAACTTCTCTTATCCACTTGAATAATATAATTTGAGATCTGCCCTGTGTTCCAGGCAATGTCTGGGAAAGGAGAGTAAGTCTTAGAGAAACTAAAATACAATCCATTCATGACTATGAAATAAGAGCTGATAAAGAAATAATCATAGAGTAGGGATAATTGTTTCACTGGCCATTAACCCCAGTCAGAAGGGCTAAGACTCAAAAAATGAAGAATGAGAGACCAGTAGTTAGTGTAATGGTTATGTTGCTAGACTCTCATGTAGCCGACTGTGGTTTGAGTCCCGGACCCGGTGGCTTAAACTCATGCTGGACGCATGTGCATGTGTGCCCAAGATCCCTAGAGGAGAATGGAGGAGAAGGGATTGCAGCGTGGCCATCCCCTCTGGGGGGTGATTTCTCACTTTCTGTCTCTCTGTCTCTCTCTGTCTTTCTGGTGAATGGCACTCTATAGCAAAAACCTCTCAAAAAAAAATGAAGAATGATAAGTGAGGGGTCAATAGATGGTATAGTGGTTATGTCACACTGCATTCCCACATGGCCAATCACAACTGATAGCTTCAATATCACACCAGGTCCATGTGTGTACCCACGATCCTGAGGAGGAGAGTGTGGTCATTCCCCCAGGAAGGTGATTTCTCACTTTCTTTCTCATTGTCTCTCACTCCAACGAGTCTACACACCCTACGGCAAAAACTAAAAATAAAAAATTTGCTAAGTGCTGGTGAGGCTGTGGTGAAAAGGGCACTCTCCTATACTGTTGATCAGAATGTAAATATCTTTAGCCATTGTGGAGAACAACAGTATAGAGGCTCCTCAAAAACCAACAAATAGAATTACTATATGATCCAGCGACTTCACTCTTGGGTATCTACCTAGAAGATAAGAATACTCAGTCATGGGACCAGCAGTTAGTGTAATGGCTATGTCGCCAAACTCCCATGTAGTTAACCGCAGTTCCAGTCCTGACCCAGTGGCTTAAACTCATGCTGGGCGCATGTGTGTGCGTGCTCAAGATCCCAAGAGGAGAATGGAGGAGAAGGGATTTTGGCGTAGCCATCCTCCCTGGGGGGTGATTTCTCGCTTTCTGTCTCTCTGTCTCTCTCTGTCTTTCTGGTGAGTGCACACACCCTATAGGAAAAAACTTCTTAAAAAAAAAAAAAAAGAATACACTTAGTCCGAAAAACATTTGCACATCCATGATTATTACAGCATTATTCACAACTGCTATGACAAGGAACCAACCCCAATGTCCAGAGACAGATGAATGGGTTGAAAAAGTGTGACACATACAGAATACTGCTGAGCCATAAAAAACAATGAGACCCTCGCATATGATAGAAAGTAGATGAATATGGAAGATTTACTGCTAAGTGAAGCAAGTCAAACTACCAAAGAGAGGCATCGTATATCCCCCACTTAATATATATCAAATGCCTGAACGCTATGGTAGAAATGGAAAGATTGGAAGGTATAAAAGCATGGAGAACAACTGTGGATATTAGAGACTTTGTGGGAGAAGGATGGGAAATGGGAATGGGTGAGAGGGAGTGAGTCAAATGGGAAAAAACAAGAAGGAAAATATTTAAGGGACACAAACAGAAAATTATCAGTTGATAATATATATAGTAATATCATTGATTGGACTAATATGCAGTGTATTCAGGCTGACAAAATTCATCTTATATGATGTACTTATATACAGTGATTGATTATAGAAAAATAATAATACATTAAGAGAAAAAAATAAAAACTACCATAAGTTACCAAAAAAAAAATTGCAACGTCTTATCTTTTCTGGGGTGTTCAACTGTATTCTTTGGTTTATTTTACTATTTTCATTGTGATCGTGTATGCAAACCAGGATAACCATGAACTTTTTCATATTTAATGTCTGAAACTTGTAAAAATCAACCTACTATTTGAACAGAACTCTACCCTGTATCCTGGCTTTTTAAAAATTCTTAAGCAAATTACTCTTTTTTAAAAATATTTTTAAAATTTTCTTTTCTTTTATGCATTCAATGACGTTATAGCTTACAAAGTGAATAATCCAACATGTGAACATTTCTCCCTAGTCTAGTTGATAAAACTATAAAATTATTTTCAACAGATAATACCACATTTCTTTGTCCCATTACATTTTTTTGACCTTGCTTTATTAAAGCTAAAACTGCTTTTCATGAAATTAAAAAATATACATACATATATATACATATAAAATAATAATACCTCTTTAAGGACTGCAGTAAGCTATATAGCCTCAACTAGGTGCTATTTTATAGTATGTTCATTTTCTTCATGGAGTTTCATGCCTGTAATCAACATGTGTTCACAGATGTGTATATATCAGCTGAACTTTTGATTGAAAGTATTGAGATTAAGATATTTTGTAAATCAACAAAATGTGGGGGGAGAATGGAAAACAAATTAGATACCAGAAACAATGTCGGAAGAGGGTGGGAAATGGCAGAGGGTAAGAAATAGGAAATAAAATATATACATACATATGAAAGAAGAAATGGAAAATTATTTGTTGATGATAACATGTATGATTAAGCCACTATACCATGTATTCTGGCTAGGAAATTGCGTTTTGTAAGCTGTCATGATGTTCAGAGAATAAACGTAAAATAAATACGTACTGAAAAAAAATCCACCTAAAAATTTATCTTACTAAGCAATTTGCAAAACTTTAATAGGGCCTTACTCTGCCAAGGGCATGCATATTGTAAAAGTAAAGCCTCTCAAAGCTAAGCAAAATTTCCTCCATTCCTTTAAAAAGAAAAGAATCATGTCATGTACCAGACATTAACAAGTGCATTGAAGAACATGAGATTATGTAGGTGGGAGAGAGTGTACCTGGTGCTTTTTCTTGGGCTAGACAGCACAAGTGACAGACAAGGTGATATTTGAACGGAGTCCCAGGGAGAGACAGGATGGGAGGGAGCTGTGAGAGTATCTGGGGAGGTGAAAGACTTGTTAAAGGAAAGAGCAAGAAGGAGAAAGGTGAGATATCAGGTGATGTTGAGGAAGGAGTGGGCCTGCTGATGTGGAAACTTGAAGACATTAAGGGTCCCCCATTCACATTCCATTCTACCCTCTGTGAATGTAGTTCTGTGAAGATGTGGACATAGCAGCAAGATTGTATTTGCAAAGCTTCCCACAGACAAACTAACTAGTATTTTGAAGTGGCCTTCTCTGTTCTGTATTTAAAGAAATATGAAAGAATCTGCTAAGGAAACAGAGGTGAGTGAAATAGGCTGAGAGGGAAACAGATCTGATAGACTCAGGTGGTCCAGAGAGATTGCAATAAAGAGAGCCTCATCAGCTCTATCAGATGCTACTACTGGTAAACTGCTCTTGAAGTCCCAAGCAAGTAATAATAATAATAAGTTATGGGAAAGACGATTTGCACACACACAAAAATAAAAAGACTAGCAAAGGCCAAAGTAAATCCAGCCAAGCAATAGAAATCATTGCAATGTAAAGAACTTTAGTTCTCACCTGTGAGCTCTAAAATCAAATTAATGTGTCTCTCATTTGCATACCCAATAAAAGAGAAGATACTATGAAATATCTTTCATGAACTGCTGCAGTAAGGGAGTATTTGGAAACAATTCTTTCTAATCTTTGCAATGATTAAAGAAATATGCTCAAATACAGCTCATCCTCAAAGTTTAATGGGACCAGCATATGGTATAATGGTTGTCACTGCACTCCCATGTAGTCAATCATGGTTTGAGTCCTGGACTCAGCGACTTGAAACTCACGTTGGGTTTGTGTGTGTGTGTATGTGTGTGTGTGTGTGTGTCCCCAAAATCCTAAGAGGAGAAGAAGGAAAAGGGATTGTGGCATGTTCATCCCCCCTGGGAGGTGATTTCTCATTTTTTCCCTCTCTCTTTCTTTGGCTGTCTCTCTGTTAAGTGCATCACCCTATATATTTTTAATTAATTAATTAATTAATTAGATACATTCAATGACATTGTTTAGCTTATGAAGTGAACATTTCAACATGTGAACATTTCTCCCCAGTCCATGCACCTTATCTTAATTCTCTTTTTTTTTTTTTTTTGGACAGAGAGAGACAGAGAGAGAGAAAGAGAGAAATCACCCCCTGGGGGGATGGCCAGGCCGCAATCCCTTCTACTTCATTCTCCTCTCGGGATCTTTGGCAGGCATGCACATGTGCTCAGTGTGAGTTTAAGCCACCAGGTCTGGGACTTGAACTGCAATCGACTACGTGGGAGTCCAGCGACATAGCCATTACACTAACTGCTGGTCCCAATACTCTTAAAAAAAAATCAACAAAAATGCCCACAATTCAGTACACTTCTTTAGACACCAAATGTGAAATTTTCCTTCCTCTTTGCCATAAATGTCCATGAACATGTTCTAATTTTAGTGGAACTACCCACTCTTCCCACCCCTTCTTTAGTCTCAGCCAATTAAAGTTAAATTCTCCTTACTTAACTGTTGACAATGATCCATGTATTGCAGAGATTAAAAGACACTTTTGTTTTGTTTCACTTTGTGATAGGGCGTGTGCACTCACCAGAGAGAGAAAGAGGGAAAGTGATAAATCAACTTCTTAGAAGATGGTCACACTGCA